CAACACAGACCCATCTGGACTGATCCACCTGCAGAACTAAAAACAAAAATGAAATGACACAAAAAGAATCACAAAATGCTACTTTACATCTGATTAATTTTCCTTGCGTGCTTGTGTGCTTTTAGTCTGAGTTGGGCATTTCTCTTGACTGAAAAAGCCATGGTCTGAAATTATTTTCTTATTTTGGCTTACCTGTAGTCAGAAGATGCTTACTATGTCTGGATGGTTTCCTTCCAAAAAAAAGAGACAAAGGAAACTATAAAAAAATGAGAAATGTAATGAATTAAAAGCTGTATTTGAGATATTGTGGCTTACTATCCCATCGTTTCCCGTTCCTAGCACGGCATCTCATCCACATGATTGACAAGGGAATGGGCTTGGTCAGCTGGTCTCCACTCCCTTTCCCCACCACCTCCTCCTCCTCCTCCTCCTCCTCCACCCTATTTCACAGAAAGGAGGAAAGCGTAATACTTGACAATGTTCTTTTTTGGTTTTTAAGTACTGTTTAACAAACTGTTGAGTAAAAGTGTACCAGTTACAGTTTTTGTTTTCTTTCTTTTTGACCTGTAGCCAGCTTGTATCAGAATACTTTCAGAATGAAATTGAAAAAGAACAATACTCACACTATCAATCTGTTATAGAGTGTATATTGTATTAACACTGAAGCCAAACTGGCTACTTTTAACATATTGTTAAGTAATATTAAATCTTGTCTTTCTTTTTTGAAAGATGGAATACAGTAGTATGGCAGGATTATGTGTCTTGTGTCAAATCTTATTTCCTACATGCTGCCAATAAAAGGACATGGACACTTAAAACTACACACATACATGTACATTTGGGAAATAAGCTCATTTGCCTTCTAGTGGATCTGTCCTTCAGATATAAGCCTAAATTTAGCAGCCAGTTAGTTCAGCACAATGACTAATTTGCACACATTCATAATCAGATTAAACAAATTAGATACAGTCTTGATGGGTGAGCTTTAGAAGTGCTGGTAGGCAGTTTTTGTTATCGTTGGACCAAGGTAGGCTAGCAGTTTATTCCTGTTCCCAGTCTTGGGAACTATGCTAAGCTAACCGGCTGCTGGTTACAACTTCATATTTAACAAAGAAACATGAGCATGGTATTGAAGTTCTCCTGTAACACTGAAAGAAAGTAAAAAAAAAAAAAGCTCATCTCACAAAAAGTCAAACTTTGACTGAATTTAAATTGAAATTTGAAGCAAAAGTGAGCGAATCAGCATCCTTCACCACAATCACCCCCCTTTGAGTTCAGTTCCCTTCATCCGCCCATATGGGACTGATGAATAGCGTAGCCAAAGCAGGAATTTTACCCATTGTTGTTCTGCATGTCTGCGGCTACACGAGGTTGCAGGATGAGTCACACCCTCAAATACGTGTTCCTTTTGGGAAATCCACTAATGGATAGTCATAATCAGTCTAGGAGGCCACAGGTAAATGAGTCATGTAAATCTTCGGCTTGGTTTCAATTGTGAATTATGTTAAATATAAAAAAGGTAGCTGCCATTGGGCTGCGTTAGGTATTTACATGTAGCCCCGTTTCACATATGCACATGAAGCTCTAGGGAAAATTGATTTCAGGCAGTTATGAAATCAAGTACATTCCCTCAGGGTAAAGTGAGTGTGAAATGAGGTCATGCGTTGTCTTATCTAGATAGATGACTTAATACATACCTCTGAGTGAACAGTACTGACAGGACAACATGCACATCGGCAGCAGTCAAAGCTTTTGCTTGGTGTTTTTCCACCAACTTTGTGACATCTTTGTAAGCAATCAATGCTGCTGAGCTTCTCTTTCTGTCATATAGTGCTAAAATAGTCGATGTGTAACTCTAGTGGGTAAGGTTTGAGAAAACTAGGACCTGATCTTGAGTTTCGAATTTGGATTTAATTGTACTTGCAAAAGCCTAATTGCACATCTGTTTGCACAAAGGGTAGAGACGTCCAACATTTCAGGATGCTGACTATTTACATTTTTTTCCATTCTTATTTAAACATAAAACTAGAATGGAGTTTTAAGCAGCTCCTTGTGCCTTAAATGCTGTGAAAAGTCCATTAAAGATCAAGTTCATAGGTAATGTGAAGAGGAAGTGACAGTTACACAGTGACTACTTCCTCTTAACTTTTCCAAGAGTGACTATTTCTTAAAACTGCGGGATTTCACTGTGAAAAATTACCACTCTTACAAATTTGATGAATGAGTTGTGGTGAAATGTACTTCATACAAGAGGAGTACCAAAGGTTTTGGTTTGCGAGAGCCGGTTGTGACTCATAATTTATTTCAGGTATGAATGACTGCCTGGCTGTTTGAAGAGCGGGCTCACCAGTGATGTAAGATGGGATCTACCGCATTTGAGCAAATGCCCCACAAAACTATGCTAACGTAGACAGGTCGAAAACACTGCAGCAAAATGTCAGACAGACTGACAGACATACATACAGACAGACAGACGGGCGTGGGACATGATCTAAATAGAATGACACAGATTTGTGTTTTCTGATACAGGCAGAGATAAGAGCCACTTTAGTCAACCTCTTCCCTAAGTTAATAATAGATATATAAAAGTCATTTTAAACAAATTTCCATCACGTGTCCTTTTCAAAATATTTCCTTGATTTGACCTTTGCTGTAAAAATGGTCTCGGTGGGGTGAAGGAAAACACAATGGTGCACTCTGAGCAGTCTGACAATGACAGGGGCGAGCGCCAATAGGATTATTAAAAAGGGATCACAGCTGCCTTGTAGCTTGTAATAAGAATGCTGATCTTTTTATTGTCAACTGCCTGGAGCGTTGCAGGATCACATACACTTCTAAAGAAGGGAATCCCCCCTCCTCCCCTTGTTTCCTGGCTACAATCTGCCACAATGCTGCTTTTGATGGCCGAAAAACCCTGGACTTCCTTACCAAGAAAGCCTTAAAAACACAGTCGGGATTGATGCCAAATACTTCAGCCAACATGTACGTTGAATTAAAATGATCTGCTCAAGTCGACAACGCTCCATTTTCAAATAAACTTGCCTGCTGTTTTTTTGGGAATTCCCTTGTGATGGCGGGAAATTCCCATTCTTTTAGGATACACACAAGATTAAAGGCCGCATCTATCCATGCTGTATTTGTCTGGATAAGTGTCAGGCTGAAGTTCTCCCTCTTTGTTAAAGTATATGACAGCTACATCGGTACATCCTGATGCTTTGAAACCTGTGTTTAAGAGGAACTAGTCTACCACTGTCACCTGACTTTTCTCATTAATTCTGTTTCTTAGAAAAGTTCCCAGACACTCAGGTGGGGATTTGTGACCTATTTTTTTCCACTCTCAGATCGGTGGGTAGAGCGTTTGTGTGTGTGGAAGTTCAGTCACTTATAGACCCTGTTTTAAGTAACCGCGTGGGGGAGAATCCCCAGTTTGACAGCTCGTGGCCTTTTCAAAGCCTGTGAGTATTTCTACCAGTCTGCATGTGGTTGGCTTATAGACGCGATATTGAAGTTGCCCTTTAAAGCCAAATTTGGAAACAATCATTCTGTGCGTAAATGAATTGGAGCCAGGCTGCTTGTGTTATGTAAATGAAATAAATGTGTTAGAAACTAATTCAGCCACAAAAATATCTTCCCCAGTTAACTGATGAGTAAGTTAGCATGTGATGCTGCCTGGTGTCATTTGAATACTTGGTTCTATGAGCCAGCTTTCAAACCAATTCTTTTTGTTTTCAGAAGTGGTCCAAACACTTCTTATTTTAAGCATCCGACATAAATAAAATTTAAATTCTGGGTTTGGTATAAAGATTTTCGATTTTCATTAAATGAATTGCTTTACATTTTGGGGACATTGTTTATTCGCTCACTGGCAGAAACGTAGGTGAGAAGATTGATAACGCTCTTAATGTGTACGGCAAATGTGAGGCAACTACTATCAGCCGGTCATTACACCCGTTTCCAGTCTTTGTGCTAAGCTAAGCTAACCAACTGCTTGCTTTGGCTTCACACTAACCATACAGACATTAGAGAGGCATCAATCCTATCCTCTAACCTTGGTAAGAGAGCATATTTCACAAAATGTTGAACTTTTCCGTTAAAGGATGAAGTGAACATGTTAGACATCAGGAAGGGGATTTTCTTTTTAATTAGAAAGTATAATATATAATAATAGTATTGAAAGTGTGACTACGTAACTTCTGCTGAATATTTGTCCCATAAATGAAGCACAAGTAGGTGAGAGTTTGCCAACATTAGCCAATAATGTTCATACCAGACCAAGTAAGGCTGTAATGATAAAACGCCTGAGGAGTATTGACATTTTATGGATTTAACGTTTCATTTGTAAAGAAAAATATGTCTTTTTCATAGTCCTGCTTTAAATGAGCCATTATCTGATCAAAAAACAATGCAGAAAAAGAGCAATGTGTTCACACTCGCACAAAGAACAGGGTTTGGCTACAGCTCTTCTATGCACTGCAACTACCTACTTCCTTTTAAAACAGGGGATGTCCAGCTTCCTGTGCTTACTACACCAAAACCCATGACAACTGATTCACCAAACAGCACTGTTGGCCTGTTTGTGTCAAAACGATACTGCACAGCGACTCAGTGCGCAGTGTTAAAGTCACTAACTGATCCGCAGGCAGTTATTGAGGGTTGTTGGATGTAACTCGAGCTACCATCTTTCACTGGTCTCCTCAGTACCCCTTGTAGTGTTTGCTTCAGCCACACAACAGCTGGGAATATGGCTGTCGCAGTACAGCGTGCCCATTCAGGCAACGCTGGGAAGGGGTTTTCCACCCCGCACAAGCACATACACGTGACACAGACGGACACACACACACACAAAAAGACATGCAGGCAGACTTAGATTAAGTAGCGCCAACATTTTCGTGGTTAGGCTATGATCTGTGTTTACAGCTCGAGGCTGCAGACTCGAGAAGCAAAATACACCGCGCAATAATGAAACATATTTAAAGTTATATAAATCATAAGATAAAAAGTATGGGTAAACAGTCTTTTATTACAAAAATAATGTGCCAGCTCATGAAAAGAAACACAGCACCAGATCTCCAAAAATAAGCATATTGTCAGTTGGGATGCCATCTTTAAGTACAGTTTCAAAAGGTGGATCTCAAACATTTTTTTTGATCCCAAAAGTTTGCCAGAAATATTTCTTGGCTTTAATGGAAAAAAGGCAACAAAACATTTGCCTTTTTCCAATTATTTATGCAAAGAGAATAAATATTAATAGAATAGTTATATATATTTTAAATCTGTTATTAAGAATATATAATTTACAGAACAGAAATATGTAAAGTTCAATCATAATCATGAAACAACTAGTAGCACCACATTGTCAACAAGATGTCTAGACCCAAAACAAGAAGCTTATGCATCATGAATCTCTTTAAAAAATAAAAAAAATCGTACGATCCCTACGATTATTATTTTTTTGGCTAAATGTCAAGAAAGTGCAACAGGTTTGTAATTTGACACATTGAGGTATTTGATATTTGATATATTGCATTGACATCCATTCCCCCACCACAATCACCTCCTGCATTGCCACGGGAGAACACGAAGAACGCGACACTGGATATTACAGATTTAGAAAAGCCTGATGAACTAATTTCTCTTGCAACAGGGGAACTTTGGGTTGTACAGTTTTGCTTCACTATGTACAAACATCTTAAGTCAGTCGTTTCATTTGTCGTCAATTCTCTCCGAATTGGAAACTCCACTCAGGTTAGTTTCTGCCGTGTAGTGCTGCTCTTCAGTGTTCAGTTACTGTCAGTGAGAGATAACTGTCTTTTCCAAATGAGTGTTGTTCCGTTTATAGTTTGGCACACTCTTCACAATGGTTCAGGTACTCTGCAGCGTCCCTGTCGTTGAACGTGGCGAGGCACCGTGGGCACTGTAACTCCGACAGGCCTGGGCACTCGTTCCAGGCAGGGTTCGGTGTTGTTACTGATGCAGCTGCAGGCTGCTGCTGCATCTCAGCAGCCGTCCTCAATAGAGGCTCTGAAGAGTCATTATGTCGCCTTGAGGAGATCCTGTGTCCTATGTGCACACGACACATGGGAACCACTTCTCGGTTCTCTCTGCTGGCTCCCTGCTGAAGTCGAGCACATAACACTGTTAGGATTGCACATACCAAACCTATGTAGGAATAGGCTAACCAAAATAAAGCGAGTGAATGTGTCTAAAGCTGTTTTCGTCCACCTCACCTGTTTGTGTAGCTGCCGTTTTAACTGATTAACCTGCTCCTTCAGGTCTTCGATCTGGCCCTGCGCTCGCTCTCTGTCGGCACGCTCCGACTTAAAGTCCTCTGTGTAGATGAGGACCTGAAGAAGGAAAATAAAGAACCTTTAGTCTTGCGTCCTCAAACAAAATCAACAACAGACGCCACAATTGCAGTACACTCTCATGAGACCACGATGTAGCACTGACCTGCTGCTCGAGAGTCTGTATGCGCTCTCGGTCTTGCCTCCTCATCTCCTCCACTTCTCTTCCCAGATGCTCACACTCGCTCATCTTCTCCTCCAGTAAGCCGTTGAGCCTGGAAATCTCATGATGAAGCAACCCGGTGCTTACAGAGCCCAACCCAGGCATCAAGCCCTGCCCAGTGGTCTCCTTTAGCCTCTGACATAAACCTCTGATATAGTCCTCCCTGCTGGAGTCATACTTCTGCCACTGAGAATTCAGACCCTGTACCTAAACAAAGGAGCAAACAAAAAAGGGTTACACCTTCTGATCTCGAACCATGTTCTGTATGACATTCAGATGTTGTTGCACGTAAGCACATTGGTATTGAACTTTTCTCAACAACATCTCAATATCTTGTATAAATATTAGTAATAACATGCAAACGGGTTCTTGGTGAGGACTTACATATGCCACTCGCTGCTTTAGCTGTTGATTCTCCTCCTGAAGTTTACGGATTTGGGTGTTGACACTAATCATGTCAGAGGACTCTGTCGTCTGTAGAAAATGGTGGAAGAGAAGTTACAATAGGGCCCCTCACAGAAAAAAAGGGTCCAGTGCACAAGTAAATAAAAGACACCAGTCACTCCAACGAAGCCCAACGTATACAAAAAACCCATCCAACACAACCCAAGCGTCACACACCTCCTTAGACTTTTGCTGCTGAAGCACAACCTCCAGGTCTTCTCCCCCCTTCTCCTTCTCCAGCCTGGCCAGCAGCTCCTGGCACACTTTCACCGTCGCTCCGAGCTGGCTGCGCAGCTGGTCGGCCTCCTCCGCCAGGGATGTGCAAAGTACGGCTCTGGTGGCCTCGGACCGCTCCCTCTCCTCCAGGGCGGACCGCAGCCTCTGGATCTCCTGGTCCTTCTCGTGGTCCGGCTGACACCTGATGGTCTCTAGCTCCAGCTCCTTCTCTCTGAGCTGCACCGTCAGCCTCTGGATCTCCTGGGAGGAAGGCAGGGGGGGGGGGAGAGAAGGATTGCATGACCACATGAGTTTGTAGTGTGTTATGTTATGGTGGATTTTATATGGAATAAAAAAAAAAGGGAAAACGTGTATTGTTGTTCTAATTATAGGTAATTAATATTTTGTTTATCCAAATTGTATCTATTAGGATGTTCAGTAAAGAATTTAAAATGAAAACAAGGAACATCACAATAACCTACAGCTCTATAAATCTCCACATAATCAAAGTTAAATATTCAAAACATAGATTTAAGGTTTTTTTTTTTTTTTTAAAGCTTATTAGCTCTTGCCAACATGTACCTGTATCACTGTAACCTTACTACCTGTTCTCCATTAGCCTCAACTGTCCACCAACACTCAATGTGCATCTGGAACAACACCACTCAGCATTTTTAAAGACATATTTTGTTGTTAGGTTTCCTTTACCTCTGCCTGTCGAGAAGCCTTGAACTCCACATCGTTCCTCTTCTGTTTCAGTTTGCATATTTCTTTGCACAGACTCTCCAGCAAAGACTTGGACGGCCCGACGACCACAGACTCGTTATCTCCCACCGTCATGTATATTCTCTCGTATCTCCCCAGCCTCGCCTTTAAATCTGCGATGATATTGTCCTTTACGTAAATCTGTTTGTTCAGAAGGTCGATTTCCTGTCGCGTCTCATGATACAGAGAATTCAGCGTGCTGTAACTCCGGATCTTGTCCTTCAGCATGTTGTTATCCGTGTTTATACTGTCGTTATCCATTGCAGACATCGTATAGATTTGACACAAGGATCAGTCAGTTGTGTGTTGTTTTTCTTAATAATCCAGCATTTGACGTCTCTGCTCTGGCCGTATGTCTTTAGAAATGCACCGAGGTAAAGTGTGTCGAAGCTTTGGCTCATCCGTGTCGAGTATAATACCCCCGAACTGTCTTAGGGGATTTCCTAGGGAACTTCCCCGCGGACTTTTTTGAGCTGGCTGCTCTCAAAGATTCACCGTCGACCGTCATTGGGGAGGTAAAAAAAAAAAAAAACACAGACACACACTCACACACCAACAACGGGGTTTTATAGCCCTGCTGGCACAAATTGTAGAGGAAAAAAAAAAGTTAGGCTAAAGTAAAGTTGAAGCTAGAACGGCTGAAAAAGAGCTAGTGGTGCTGCGTTCACATGCCGTCGTAAACTCGGAAGCTCCGAGCTAGTGGTGCGATTTATCAACGCACCCAAATAGCAAACGATACGCGTTACTATACAATAATAATAATAATAATAATAATAATAATAATAAAAAAAAGGAGTAGTTTTTGGGGGTTTGTGTTTTTGTGTGTGCAAATTGGGCCACATAACCAAGGTGTATAGAGGCCAAACGTCCCTATCGTGCAACTCATTTGACACACAATTGTTTAATGCCACCCAAAAGTTGTCATACAACAGGAAAAAAAAAAAAAAAAACCGATACATGAAGTCCCCCCTTAATAGTATTCGCTAATATTTAGCATGGAATGACAAACAATACTTATTGATTATTAAAAAGCATAAATTTTCCCAGCGGTAGTTTACAGGGTTTCCACGCATCCCGCCCCCTAAACGTCACAATCAGTGCAGTTGGAGTATCAGCAAATTTCCCATATACTCCAGTCATTATGATTGTTTGTTCATTTTCTCTCGAGGGGTCTCATGTTTCCCATAGCACTGAAGGCATCATACGTTCTCTTCATTATGATGTAATTAAATTATTCCGTTGAGCAGCCTGTATTGCGCAGCCTGTATTGCGCAGTTGTGGCCTCACCACTGGGTGTGTGATTATATTATTAAAGCTGTCCAGGCTGATTCATGCAGCATGTCTGACCATTTAATGGCTTTTAATAATCCTGAGGGACATTTCTGCTTTCTGAAATTTTGGAAGTAGAACAATATCTCTTACTGTAACACAATTAGTACATTGTTAATATTAGGACATTGTGGCCACATGGTACTTGACATTTACCATAAATAATCTTAATTTAAAACAAACAACGAAACTGATATAACACTGTATAGTGACTATTTTTGTGAAGATGCTAGTATTTCACAAGGCAAGTATGCATCACTCGCCTTATGGTAAACTGGCTGGCTAATCCACAAATTGATGAATTCATTCAAAATGTAAATTAATTAAATCAATTAACAACAAAAAATTCTTGAAGTCTTGAAGTTGCAATTAAAAGTTAAAAGTGCAACAGATGTAATGTATATAAAGTAATAAAAGTATCAATACTTCAGTGTAAAAATTTAAGTAAAGGCCAGGCAATATTACTTGAGCAAAAAGAAAAGTAAATGTACTAATTATGTACTCTGTCAGTGCTGAAACAGTTACACATTAATGATTTATTATAAGTTGTTTATCTACTTAGTGTTCTATAGTTTAATCAGCAATGCTCGGAAGTAGCTTGAAATGATATATTCAGTACAGTAGTTGAGTAAATGTCCTTAGTTTGTATCCACAGCTGTATAATCTAAAGGCCGAACTTGCAGGCCCAGTCCACGCAATGCACAATACACACAACCTATTGTTGATGGACTGAAGCTACGCAAGGAAAAGCTCCATTGGACTCCTGGACCGCAACAACACTGAGCATTATCAGGTCAGAATGAAACCACTGTCTAGACTGTAGGTGTACAATTAAAAACTTTCAGGCACTCATCAAGGAGGCCTCATCAGCTCTACTGGCCGGTGGGGAGTCCCAGGTATTTCTGGGTCATAATGTCACATGAGGGCTGTGGAGTTGAGTCATTGAGGTCAGTCATATGGCAATCATGTGACACTTGCCAGGGTCACTTGAATCAAGGTGTGAAGTGTGTAAAAGCTAAGTGGGATGAGGTGTTGGCACTGTAAGTGAATTTATAGGTTATTGTTTACTTTCAGTGTGATTCAGAAGACAACCGGTGAAGTATCTGAATGTGGTACCCTCTCCTCAGGAGGTATACTGAATATAGATGGCCTCGGGTGGAAACTTTTGCAAATCTTTCACAATTTCCTGATCAGATTTTAAAAGGTTATACTATGAAAATAAATATACACTTTTTTAAAGAATTAGTTGCAGCCTTAGTTTGCCACTTTCAAAACTCTCATTGAGTAAATAAAGTCAAATATAGGTTTATTTTAAATTAAACCAGTTACATTAAGACAAAATAGCAAATACATCAGTTCAAATTGAGTCTTTAGACGGATGATTTAAAAAAAAAAAAAAAAAAAAAAAAAAGGATGACAGTTTTTCCAAAGTGTACAGGCAAAGACAATAAGTGTGACCTTTGGCATATTTTTAAAGAATAAAATTACCAGTTGGAATATTTTTAAAGCCTTGGAGCTCATTCATACCCACAGTTTACGTTCCCACAGTAATCAAAAGGACTGGAAAAAGGAACAACAAAACAAGAGTCACATGTTTCACAGAATTATTTGGTCAAAATAACAGTTGGTATCAAAATACAGGCATATAAAGCCTAGAGTCAATATGTAACTTATTATTTAACTGACACTGCGCTTACAGGCCAGGATTTATCTCGCATTATAGGCCTCAATTCAGTTCAATGGTGCAAATATTTCATTAGTAAAAAAATCAAATACAGACCTAAAATGTGTTGCAAAAACATTAACGAGGAATATTTAAATAAATTGTATTAAATTTAACTATAAACATTTCTTTAAATATTACTAGCAACAAAACGTTGCTATGTTTTTCCTGACTAGAGTTTACCATTAAATTCCACTAGAGGGCAGTGTTTAATAAAACATACTGTAGGTTCATTATCTGCCTTGTAACTTTGGCCATTAGGATTATTTATAAAACTGGTATTTGTGGGTATTGGTTTCCTGCTACACACGCACACACATGATAAAATGAGTCATTTCAAACATGTCGTTGGCAGCTTTTAATAGCTGAAAACTTTATACAAGAATAAAAGACAGTATTTGATATTTACACAGTAATACTTTCAAAAAATACTTTACATTACACACACACACACACACACACACACACACGACCACATGATTATTTGCGCTTAACAAGTTACTTCTCATTAAATCAACACTACCAACCAAAGTTCATCAGCAATACCTAAAAATATAACTTGTGTCACTCATCAAAACAACAGGATGAAGACGCAAACCAAAACTGAACATTAAAAGTTTAAATGAAATATGAAAGTCTGGGAGTAGAAAAATATCATGTTTTTAATTATACTGTGGTAGAAAAGTATGCAGTGGCTCAAGTACAAAAAAACAGATTAGCAAGAATATTAAAATGTTGAACAGGAAGAGAATATAGCCAGCTATCTCTCATTTTTGCTTGAGAAAACAGGAAGGAATACAAAAACACACATTATTTTGTCTTTGAACGTCACACTACCCACACTCAATATGTATGCACCACACAGTATGAATCCATTCTTGTAATTGTGTCTGTAGAGCTATGGCAGAAAATATTTTTTATTGGATGCAAGTTCCCTTTTTAGGAAGACTTAAATATCATACAAGAGTGGGTTTTTTGTTCCTTGAGGCCTTTGAATCTTGTGATGTTCTTTTTTTTTTTAATAAGTTTTGAATATTCCTAAACAAACAACTGCTGATGATTTAACCCTGTTTGAGGAGTTTCATTTTTAAAGTTATGGTGAAAATAGAAAATGTCTTAAACTCACCCCCACTGCAGGCAACATCTGCCAGTAATTTTTTTTTTTTAAAAAGTCAATCATGTTTAATCCTGGATTCAAAGCTCTGCTAGTTTTCACTCTAGCCATATAATTATGATTCCTTTACACCTGGGACACCAGCTGAGTGCAATCAACTGCAATTAATGAGGCGACAGCAAAGACACACAGCTTTTAAACTGACCACTAGGGGGTGCCCAGAGCCCACTAAGTGCAAGATGAATGAGAGCCAATGGATGAACTTCACAAAATCTCACATTGCTACAATTTAAATGACTTTTTTTTCCTTCTATATTTGCTTACATCTGAGCCTGTGCCAGATATAAATGTGTGCCTTGCTCAGAAGACATTTATAATCTGTAGCCGTTTAAAAATATTGATGACTGTAACTTGAGCATATTCAGAAATAGCACCTCTCAGGACATGATGAAATAACAGTTGTAATTGCAGAATCAAATAAAATGACAGCCAGCCCCAGATATGCTATATATTGCCTATTTTTTTTAAGATATTGGGCATTTGAACTAAAAAAAAAATCACTGGAAAACACAGAAAATGGTGAGTTTTTTTAAAAGCCAAAGAAACATCTTTGCTGGAATCTAGAGAGGAATCTATGAACCATAATTGCAACTTGAGTGACAACTGGAAAGAGATAATTGAAAAGAGCTCAACTAATGTTTTTCTTCAACAGTGGCACATGCAGTTGTTTTTTTTCCCTTCTTAACACTGCAGCTTGCGGATGCTGCGGGAAATCCTCTTAAACTCACGCTGACCCTTCTGCCAGCGCTTCAGCGAGGTGATGACCAGATGGCCATCCATCCTCTGGCCCATGACCAGGTAAGCGGCGTTGATGTCGTTCATCTCCTCACAGATGCACTGCAGGCCGTCCTTCAACCACAGCACCGTCTTCTTCAGGTCGCGCTCTGTCACACCGTTCAGCTTGTAAATGGTCTTGCTCTTGGTCTCCGGCACTATCTTGGTGTCACCGTTGATGTAGGAGATCTCCTTAACTTTGATCTTCAGAGCTTGATGCAAGCAGGATAGAAAATAAGGATTGGAGACTGGAAACTGTATGATCATAATGTTTGACATAATGAAAGCCATCTGAGAAGCTTTAAGGCCAATGTGTGTGTACACTGTGCTGAAATACATGCAATACAGGAGATAAAAGTCACAATACACACTCTTCCTTTGGACTTTCTAGTGAATAAAGCACATTTAACAGTGGAATTTCTCCTCATGTTGCCTGAAATCTCCTGCTCCCTCCCTCTATGGCCCCCTGAGCTTCACCTTGGGAACTGCTGCAATAGGTGGGAGGACTTACCAAAGTCATTCTTACACAGGTTGTCAACAATTTCGTTGTCGTTTTCATCTGTTTCCTTGCAAGCATCACACACTCTGGGCACTTGAACAGAAATTAGACATGGTAAATGGGGCATAATTCAACACACAATGTTATGTACTGTGCAAAATAAGTAGGACACACATGAATCCAGATGTGACCACAGTGGATTCTGCTGCAATAAGTGCACAGATGAGTGAATATATTGAACAGAAAATCCTGCTGTGCACACATTTATGTTTATCTCTGTGCCACTAAGTGAACTGAAGACATGGTAAATGCTTCTAAAATACAATTCTAAAACTCACCTTCTTTAGTGACTGGCGCAAAGTTCTCGTTGGAGGCAGGTGGTATGCACAGGTCATTGTCGAGTGGGAAACGGTCGCACTCCAACATCTTAGGCCAAGGGAAGCCAAACGCGGACATCACGGGGGCGCAGCCGTGCTTGACGTTCTCGCACAGAGACCTGCACGGCTGTATGGGCTCGTCCAGATCGTCCAGACAGACAGGAGCGAAAAGGGAGCAGAGGAACTTTCTTGTGTCGGGGTGACACTGCTTCTGAATCAGCGGGATCCAAGACGAAGCTTGCTGCAGAACCTCATTCATGGTTTCGTGCCCGAGCAGGTTCGGGAGGCGCATCTCTGTGTACTCTATATCGTGGCACAGGAGGAGATTTGCAGGAATTGCCTTGCAGTTATTCTTTTTGAAGAATAATTCATGCTGGCCGAAACTGTACAATCCGTGGATAGCTTCCATGCAGGGTATTGTTATCACCCACAACACTGTCACTGTCGAAATAAAGGCTTTCATTTTGAATGCGCGTAAAAACCTGCAAACTATAAACGCGTAATCAGGGGTTGTTGGGCATCAGTCAGCGTGGATGGAGCCTCTGTCAGTGGCCAGCTCCTACTGTAACAAGAGGTTTTCTTCCAGGCATGTCTGGGAGGAGTCTATATATTGTGCGTAAAGACCGCTTCTCCATTCAGCACTTCCTCGTATCAGGTGAACCTTGTGCACAAATGTGTCTCCTCCGTCAAAGAAAAACCCCCAAATTCTCACTTTGTTGCTCCTCTGGGTCCGACAGGCATTTTTTGATTTCTAATTATAGCTCATAGTATTTTATCACCAGTCGTTTTTCTTAACAATTTCCCCTCCCTATTTCATACCCTGCCCTTCATGGAAATAATAACAAAACGTGTCTGACAGGTTTTCCTCATTACGCCCAAATCAACAGAAATATGTCCTGAGTGATCCCTTAAACTTGCTGTTTTTAGACCCACGCTGTAAATAGTTTGGGAATGTTGTCAGTAGGGGCATTTAGCTCAGTTCAGTGGAGCGTTAATTTTCCATCATTAGGAGTTTAGTGGTGAAATCCTCCGGGCAGGTCTGCAGGTTCATGCCACATGGTGAAATATTGATTTGCCCCTGGTGTGAGAAGCAGACCTCCACTCAGCACACCCAGGGGGGAAACCAAATCTGCCTCCTCCTGCTCTGCAGCTCTGGCTCCTATCCGCTCTCAGACCCCCTTGAGCTACAGTCTGGTCTGCAGACAGCAGTGTGGTTCTTCTCAGGCTTGACCTTCCTCTTGCTCCCTCGGAAGAAGCTGAGTGAACACTAATCTTGGATGTGATGTCTGTGGAATTTCTAGCTAAAAGGGTCAGTTCACCCAAATTACAGAAACATTTTCCCACTTAGTCCTTGTGGTTTCTAGATATTCAGATATTTTGGGTTTTTACTTTGGAGATATCTGTCACAGAGATTTCTGCTGCCACCCAAATACAGTGGAGATAAACTGAATTTAATTTGTAATGGTGAAAATTCAACAGTTACATGTGTGTTTTTCCCCCCAAACCAAGGACATGATGAGCATTAATCTATATATATCTTAAACTCATCTAGTGTGCAAAGTACCACATGTCGATTCCTGTATTGTCACAATTCAGTATCTCAGAACCTCCCAACTTCTCCACTCAGCAACTCCCTCAATCATTCAAAAAGGTTATGAGTCACTTGTTTTAAGTAGAAGGAAAAAGAATTTGAATTGAAAACACAGTTGTAGTTCATTTGCTCTGAATTAAACCTGCCATTAAAGTTTATGGCTCTACGTGCGCCAATTTCTTTTTTTTTTTTTTAGCAGAACTGAACAAAGAGGATATTTTGGCAAGAGCTCCCACTTCACATGTTTTTCTTTCCGTATGAAAACAAGACAGAACCTTTAAAGGAGTTGGTGAACCTGGCATGTATAAATAATGTTTTATGAATAAAGTGCTGCACCCTTAAATTAGGTGTTCAATTTTTTTGCTACTGAAGATACAGTCAGTGTTTCCCAACTCTGGAACAAAGGAGTCTGAGTTCAATTAGATGCCTCATACTGACTCATGAATCCAAATTACGTCCATAGTAGCCTAAATATACTGACTACTGTACAGGAGAGAAAAGCTAAAGTAGTAAGGGCACTGCTGACTAGGGTGTTACTTGTTTCCAGTATGACTTTGAATATTTTTTCTTTATATTTAAAGTGCAAGTTCACCCAAACTACGTGTTTTCTCACCTATCTGTAGCCGTATCTAGACATATGGACAGTTTTGGTTTTAATTTGCAGAGGTTATGAGCTATATGTCTCTGAAATTTCTCCCACCACCACAGTATAAGGTTATGTTTGGGGTGAATGGGATTTATTATGTGGTGCTCAAAGCTTTGAAAAATTACCTTCAAAACATTCTACAGCAACATAAAGTGTCTTTATAATCCACGGATCATGCTATGAACATTCTCATATGGACTGTTTCTTCAGGAGAAACTGTTCAATTAAAACTGTCCACTGGGATGTAATTTGGGTCAACTGAGCCTTTAAACCTGCAATAAGAATTGTTGGTCATTTGGGTGCAATACAAATAAGCTGTAAACACAACACTGACATATTATTACCATCTATCATATTTACACATCCAGCAGATACAGAGCAACATTAGCATTCATTTGGAGTTATGTTTCTGTTCACCTGAAGAATTTTTCCCGATGGACGTATCTAGCTCTTTAGCGACTAAATGCTCCATTAAGTTCACCAACTAGTTGCTAACTGTGTCTGTCTACCATGTGGTGCTGTTCAGGTAGCGTACAGTGGGGTTTTTTTGAGCTGAGAGTTTTACAGCTGCAGCTGAAAACGAAGGGAACGGCAAGAGTGAACCAAAACAGTGAAGTTGTGGGCTGGAAAACTAAAACAATGAGCTAATAGAATCTAAATAGCTGAAGAACTGAAGAGTTATTATTCTCTGCGGGCTCATCGCTACGTGTGACACCTTTCACACAATACACAGTCATTTGATCCTGTTATTATAAAAATACTGGTTATAGCTGCTTTGAAAGAGCCAAAATGTCCAAGCCTATCAGGACTAAGCTGGCATTCAGAGCGAGAGTTCAGCCTTGCTTTAGAATAACACAAGGGGCTGCATTTTGGGGGTGGGGGGGTCTTGTGGCACCAGCGCGACATGAAATATGATCCAGCAAGTCCAGCTTGAGTAACAGATCCATGAATTGAAAGGATTATCAGATGTGAAAACAGTGCACAGTTTATGACGCTCTGAGATGAAGAAATTTGATCAATCGCAGCAATTATGAGGTTTTACATTCACCACCACATTGCCTGATGTCACACTGCCAGAAAACGCCATGTTTTTTTTGCCTTAGCCCTCTGCATTGACACCCCCGGCTGCGCCACTTGACCTGGCCTCATTCAAATGGATAAGAGGATCGCATTTAGAGCCAAAGTTGGTGTGAATGCGGCCTACGAGTATTAGAGCAGGGACCTAACTGGTTCTCCAGTCTGTGTCAAAGGTTTAACTTGCTTTAATAGGGCAACTCTCCCCCTCTTATCCCCTTCCCTTCAAAGTGTGTCAATTCTATTCAGGTCTCTGTAGAAACACTTTTACAGCCATTTACGGACTAGAGCCCCCTATTAACCTGCAACGGGACTCCCTTTAGTTGAGCACTTGGTCAGCTGGCTAAACTGTACCTGTGGTGTTGCAGGTCGCATGCTAACCTTTCTTGGACGACTAAATGTGATCAGCTATAAACAGACTCATGATGGACTAATGTACATTTAAACTGTTGTGGTCCCATAAGAGTTTGAATATACATATATATTAAGGCAGTAAATGTATACAAAACATGTGGTAAAGTAGTTGAAATGACACATCCTGGATACTTCAGCTCGTCTTCTAAAATTACAAGAAACAAAGACTATAAATGATGGAAAGGATCCAAATAGGGGATAAATGGACTGCAATAAAGATTGGATCAAACCGTAGCAAGCATAAGGCTTTAGTTCTCCAAAAGAGATAACATGCAGTCTTTATTAACAATACGCTTTCACAGACAGTTAAGGTCAGAGGCTTGGGATAGAGGTAAACTGATCCTAGGCCTGTGCGTAAAGTCACCCAGTGGGTTCCTCATGTGTGAAAATGAGACACAGCTTGCTGGACCAAGTGGTCCATCTGTAGGCCAGTCTTCCCCTCCACTACCCACAATGCTGTACTCCTGTCCTTCCTTTTTTTCATTAAATATCAAGGGCTAGACTGCTGTCAAAAACAATCACAGAATGTATTGTGCAGGTTCAAAAGAAAACCATATCCCAGTGGAAAGGTTTAAGGAATCAGTTCATTGAATGTTCATGAAGACTCAACTCTCAGTGTGAGGAGGATCAAAGCCATCAGACTGCTATAAAGTAAACCAACCCAACACTGATTTTAGGCAGACAGGCAAATCTCCTCCATACAGGATGTTGGGATTTTAATCACTATCTGATTAGAACAGATTAGAGTATTGGTCTGGTTATATTCTGTATTTCTATATTCTATCTTTATATTTCTATATTATATTTATTTTTTCTATGTTTAGATAAAGTAACTTTAACCTCAATGAGAAATATATGGGCACTGTAGTTTGTTTTGAATATGTGCATTAATCCGCAGATGAAAATAGTTCCCAACAAATTCACTATTTTCTCCTGTTTGAGTAATGTTGGCTAAAAACTAAAGTGCCCAAACATTTTAGGAAACCATTAAAAAAGGTTGTTTTTTTAAAACAGATTTTTAAAGATTTCTTCATCCTCTTTAGGATCCGCTGAGTGGCATAGACTGAGAGACAGACTAATACAATATTGGTCTTCTAATGGAATTTCTTGACAATAAGAAAAGAGTATAATAATCCCTGGGAAAATCTGCACAGTATAACCTCATTAGTCTGTACATGATTGTGCTGAATCACTGCCACTTTTGAGTCAACGGCAAACACTTTAAACTTTAAACGTGGTCTGCAATTTGTCACACCTCTACAAAAATAGTATTATCTGGCGTTAAAGTGTCTGATAAAATAAGGATTATCTTGTAGCCCACAATAAAAAAAACATCCACAAGTTTTCAATGTTAGAACCACTACCCTTTATACTTATCTTCCACGGCCCCTTAACTGCCAACTAAGAATCAACTATACAGCTCTGAACATTGTCCTGAAGTGCACTAATGAGCTTGTTAACTTCAATCACGCCTTCTGCATTGACATTTGGGAAACAATTCATCCCAACCAAGAGGAATTAATCTCATTAGAGCTCCAGAGTCATATAGATTGTGCCTGCTTGGCGTAATTGATGTTCCTATTGTACAGGTCTAATTGACTCAGTATGGGGTTTCAGAGCAGCTGTGGGACACGTAGACGACTCTACCAGACTTTGGGATAACCAGATGCATATTGGAGATGTGTGCACTGTACATAGTGGTAGTGGACCAATGTGTAGAGAGGGAACAAGGTTGTTTGTATTTTCTGTTACTGAAGCATTAAAAATGTAACTAATAAATGTCAGAAATATTTCATGTTAATTGATCAGTCTTTTATGAATTTAAAGGAATAATTTGACATTAGCTTAGCTTAGCATAAAGACTGGAAACAGATAACCTGGCTGTCCAAAGGTAACAGAATCCACCTGCCAGCTCATCTAAAACTCAACCTTTAATTAACCATTATGTCATATGTTTGTTTAATCCGTAATGCCAGACTATTTGGT